AAGGAGCATGTGGGAGACCCATCTGTATTATTAACTACAAAAATCCAGGAAATGTCCCCTGGCTTCCCTTTAATAACCCGGTTTATCTCTGTCATCCATGACTCTCTCTAAAAGTTCATTCCTGGAATCTATTTATAATTTCAGGCCATACTGTTTCTCAGAGTAACGATTTACACATTTACTACCTACAGCGTAAAGTCGTAAAGTACTACCTCCTTTTCTTTGGCCTAAAACTATCAAGCTCTCTTGGTCTGCTCAGCAGGGCAGGATGAGAAGTCATTAACATCTCTCACCTGAAGAATTATTTTTAAAGACGCTAATTAAGTCTTCAATGAAAACAGGTATAGTATGATGCAAACACATTAATTAGGCCAATTTTGAGGTTCCAACAAGTCCCCTGAAAAAGTGCAGTCCATTTATGAGGGCTTACTTCCCTCCAGATGGCTGCCAGCTAGAACCTACTTCAGGAGGCATTTTCTTTAGACACCATGTGGGCAAGATTTATATTTGACTCAGAAGAAAAATGAAAATTGAAGCTGAGGGGCAGGGATACACAAAATAGGGCTGAAGTGTAAGAGTAGTGACATTTGAAAAAACACAATCTTCTGTTTTCAAAGTCCAGCACTCTGGAAACAACTCTCTGGCCATGGGGTTCACTGGGAATGGCCTACCAACTCCAGTATCTGAAGTGGGGAGGTGGACTTGCGGGGGTCACCATCCTGTTGAAGATTTACACTGCCTTACCCCAGTGCTTCCTGATTGTTTTTTTTACACAGCCCACAGACCATCTCCTTGAAGACGCAAATGCAGAACAGACACATGGTGCTGTTCAGTCACTTTTTGCAGCTAGGAGGGAAAAGGGACGCAAAAAGAACCAAGCCAGAGAGAAACCCCAACTGGAATAGTTTCCACCAGATCTCAGCAGTCCTGGATTCCCTCCCCCACTCAACACAGGCTCAGGCACAGGGCGCCTAACTTAATGTCATGACTTGGTCAAGTGGGCAGGGCTTGGGGGAAAAAAAGTTCCAGATGAGTTTCCTCTCTCTAAGCAGTCACAGTCTGTGTGTGTTCTGCACAGATGGTGCAAAGATTAATAATCCAAAGTATTTAAAAATTGGGAGAGACAAAGCCTATTTTCTAAAGTTGGTTTGTGATATATTAAGAAGAGATCTAGTCTCCCAAGACCTCGGAAAACCCCAGAGGATCTTGCATGCACAAGTTGGAGCTGAAAGAATGCAAAAACCTGGCAAGCTTCTTTTCAAAAGGCCTTTTTCTAGGGGACTTGTCACTCACCAGTACTCCAGGTGTGCTAAGTACAGTGTCTTAACCAAACCCTGCCAGTAATTTGCTTGTCTATGGGACCAGCTGGGCATCTGCAGAGGACACGAGGATGTAACAGACACGGCTGTGAGAATTCTGATGCACGGAGGGTGTCGGAGACTTAATAAGAGTTCAATCTTTTAGCAATGCCTGAATTCACAGCATGGCTTTTCCCAAGAAGCGCCAAGTGCTTTAAAGATGACACGTTAATCTTCACAGAGCCTGAGTAATGGAAAGTCTGAGCCTGCAGGGACAGGTGTGAGGGTCACGGAAGCTGACTTCTAGCTGTGTGCTGGCTCACAGGAGCAGATCAGTGATGTGGGTAACAGGACAGCCATCTCTGATGCCTCATCTGTCAGCTCTTGCTCCTACTATTATGATGAATTGGGACCCTTCTCTATCAATCAATGTGTTTCTCTCTCTCTGTGTCAATGTAGCATCACTTTATCAATAAATAATAGCAAAGAGTAAAGAGGCCAAAGAGCAGATAAATAAATGGGGACAGGAAGATCTGCCAAAAGAAGAAAGCAATGGGCTCATGGAAGGTGATGTTACGTGAC